TTCACACTGTTGTGCACCCATCACCACCATCCAGCTCTAGAATTTTTTTTTTTTTTTTGGTAGAGACGGGGTCCTCTATTTGCTCAGGCTTGTCTCCAACTTCTGAGCTCAAGTAATTCTCCTACCTCAGCCTTCCAGAGTGCTGTGATTATGAGGCATGGGCCACTGTGCCCAGCCTCCAGGATTTTTTCATTTTCCCAGACCAGATACTCTGTACCCACTATATAATAACTTCCCATCCATTCCCTCTTCCAACCCCAGTAGCAACCATTTTCTAGCTACTTTCTCAACTACTTTCTAGCTCTATGATTATGACTCCAGGGAGCTCATGTAAGTGGAATCAGACAGTATTTGTCCTTTTGTATTTCATTCCTTTTTAAGGCTCAATTTCAGTGCTTTTCAGTGTATTTCTGTGTTTGGACAGACTGCATTTGGTTATCTATTCATCCATTAACAGACATTTAAGTTGTTTCCACTTTCTGGCTATTGTGAACAATGCTGTTATGCAGCTGCTGGTTTCTTGTAGATACTTTTTCTTGAAGAGATATATACAAACAATTTAATTTTTCATACTGCTTCTACATATGACATTCAAATACCAACAGTCCAACAGGAAAAATCCATTACCTGTATAGAGCTGGTAGCGAGTGTCATCCAACCCAAGGAGGTAGTTTATCATGGTAGATTTACCAACACTCCACGGTCCCAGGAACAGCACCATGGGCTTGGATGTGATCTCTCCATCTGTGAGCAATGGGAATTAGAAATGGGATGAACTAATGAAAGTCCTCACCATGAGCACAGTAACATACTCCAAAGCACTCTGCTCCCCAGACCATCCATCGAATCAACTCAAGGAATTCTTCATGGATCAGGCAACGTGTAGTAGTCAGTGGCACTCCTCTTGCTAATGTTAAGTGTGATCACCCAGGTAAAAGATAATGGAAGTCATTGTTTTGGCCTTGCCCAAATCCTTGGCACATCTGCCTACACCAGAAGGAAGATCTAAGTGAATTCAACAAACACTGACTCAGAGCTCACTCTGGGCGAGGTCTCATGGTTAAATCTGGAAGAGAATAGTTTATAAAAAGGGGAGGACAGAGCATCCACAGAGACAGAGTCTGGACTCAGAACAGAAGCATGGATACAGGCTTAGTGGCTAGGG